ATGTCTGCTTTGTCCTTCAAGCTGTCTTCATCCTATGCACTGTGGGTCCAGTGTGGGAACCAGGGTGGGATATTCCATCTGACAGAACAGGATATGGATTTCTCTACAACTTTGAAGAACTTTTAAATCAAAATCCCAAAATACTGCTTAGTGCTTTATTATCAGACCAACTGTATTCACACCAGGTCTTACTATCTAGTCTAATGCCTTGTTGCCTTCCAAAGTTTATTGCTCTTGGCTAGCCAGCACCCGTGTCACAGTGCTGACCAGTCTCACTTGGCTGCTGGGTAAATATAGCAGAACATGCTGGCTGTGAGCTCCCTACAGTGGAGAGATGACTTCAGAGTTTGCATGTGATCCATTCATTCTGAGGATCTGTTGCAGAATTGTATTTACAGGTAGTTATCAAAGGTATTAGAATCTTGTTTTCAAAACTGTCTTGTATTGATTCCTAAAGCCAAAAATAGCTTCTCTTCACACTGGAGAATTTCTAACTGCTAAGTCTCATAAAGTGCTCTTGTGTTTTATCTTGTATTATACATGACAATGTTCCGGTAATGTATCTTGAGAGATTTAAGTTTTCCTTTAACTCTGGAATTTCTTCACTGAGGCTACAAGGACTTTCACCTTTCAAAACTTTGGAACTTTGAAGTTGCTTGTTTTACCCAGTGCACAGAGAATTTGGAGGTGATAGAAAATGGAATGTCACTCCAAAGCTAACTGCATGAACCTCAGATTTCAGAACCACTGATTTTCATACATAAAAAGAGTTATGTATTTACTAGGCATTTGTATTTTTTTTTTACATGGGCTGTTGCAAAAATATTTGGATTTTTTTCTGAAGGGAAAACACTTCGTTTCCAAACTTGTGCTTTCTTCTATGTCTATACAAAAGGTTGCGTGATGTATTTTTGAAAGTACTCTTTTTTTCTGGTGGGAGCAAGGTGATACTGAATGAAGTTGGTAGGAAAGTTAGCTAAATTGTAATGTTTGAGTTGCTCTTTTGAATCCATAATAAGTTAACGTATTTCTCTTTGTGATCAATTTAGAGCTCTTTGTGTTTGTCTGGGCCAAACTCTGTAACTCACGATTTTACCAACATCTCTCAGAGAGACACAGCATCATCACAACCTTCAATGCTTACAACAGTCTCCCAAGAAGACTCACTGGAAAATAACCAGGAGCAGCAAATAGAGCACCTGAGGACAGAAATCAATGCTATCAAAGCCAATTACAAAAGCAAGAATGGAGTATGACAGTTTTTTGTAATATTTAGTCTTAGCACTTCCTTTCATTGTATTCTGATAAATAATTCATTCAATAATATTAAAAATAACAAAGATAAGTGATACCTAGTTTGAGGAAGATAAGCCAGGCATGTGTTACTAATGCAGGGGGAAGCAGTGATTGTAATTACAGGGGGTCCTTTTTCTGTGATAATTTCTGATTGTTCGTGGCTCTGTTTTCCAGGAGGATGGCACCCTTAATCAGTCTGTGCTTGCCAAGAACACTTTAATTATTACCCAGTCCCATTTGATGACTGCTCTTGAGGGTATAAGACCATCCATTAGCCAAGATGACTGGAAGAATTTTACTGAACTGTAAGCATTATATTTTTTATTATTAATTGTGAGCTCAAGTGGAGATTTGGTCTTTCCATATTTCTTATTCATCAGAACCACAACAGTTATTTAATGATACTCTGTGTGGTAAATGGCATGGAAATTGGGTGGTTTCTGACAGCAGTTTTTTTTCACCAATACCAAGGTACACAATAGAAAGAAGAAATTATCTTACCGCTGTGAGCGTGGGTGTCTTTTATTGTTTTTATTAGCATTGGACCTAGAAATTCTAATCCCAGACCCAAAACCCCTTTTATTATGTTAAAAGCTATACCAGTACAAAGAGAATTCTGATTCTCTGAAACATAAAGCTAGGTCCTACTGTTCCCATTGAGTAGCAGTTCACCATGTTTTCAAATTGCTCTGTTATGACTTTCTAGTGACTAGTGCCTCTGTTAACTACTGTATTTGGGAAGAGGTATGATGCTTTGAGTCCTCATTATATATGTTCCCAAAGAAAAATAATTTGCAAAAGAGAAGACATACTGAAAATGGGAACATGTCCATTAAACTTGAAAATGACTGGAGTGAAAAAGCTGAAAAGTGGCATCAAAACAGTCCATGTTTTCTGGACTTGGGAATTAAGGTGTGATCTGCCTGAGGTGTTACATGGATAAGCAGATCTTAACAGCAGGGATCAGAGAGAAGGAGAAAGAGAGATAATTTCTAGGAATCAGTACCCCCTGTCCACTTTTCTTCATTTCCCTCTAAATAGTAATAATTAAAGTATATATATATGTTATTTTAGAATAATAGTAATTAAAAAAAAAAAAAGAGAGAGCTTTGTGCTCTGCTTTGCCTGAATCAGAGTAGTGGATGAAAACTCCTCCAGGCCTGCAGGTCTGAGAAAACAGGTGCTCTTCATTTCAGCCAAAATATAATTGAACATTGATAGTTCTGTGCTGTATTGCTGTGTGTTTTGGGGGCATATGCAGACAAAGGGATTTCAGACTAATATGCTGCTGTCTTTTACTGTTTCCAGGTACGATAATTTTCAGAATCCCAAGAGGAAAGGACAAGTTGGGTCAGCATTCAGACCAGGACAAAAAATGACTCTAGCATAGTAACTTCTAATGTGCTTGTAATTACTGAACTGTAAATGAAAATGACAAATGGGAGCTTAATATTTAAGTGATTACATCAGATTATTTATATTCATATGGGTTTATTAATGCAGCAGTTGAAGAAAATGTCTTTCTAGTTTACATGCTGTAAAATTATTTCACATTTTATTTTGAAGAAAATTGTCTTCCTGGAAATTAATATTAAATTTTTGAGAGAACTTCTGTTATGTTATGTCCAGTTGTTTGTCACAAAAAAATTAAATTTTGATTTTATCAATATATAGTTGCCACAACCTAATAATGATCTCCCTGTCTGAGTAAACTGTACTGTCTAAGGCAAGAAATGATGCACTGATATTCTGAACAGCTTTTCTCTAATGGCTTTCGGAGGGCTCAGAGAAGAGTTTTACTTCATATGTTTATTGATGGGCCAACAATACTGGTAAGTAATACTTCTAGAGCGACTGTAGCCAAAAAAGAAAAATATTAAGACAAAACTACATAATTTTATCTTGTCGTTTGCCACCATTAATTATTCAGAGTAACATCAAGTTGCATTTCATAACAGTCAGATCTTTCTAAGCCTATCTTCTTCTTGGAGACTTGAAAAATCTCTCGTTTGGAAGTTTCCCTACTTTACATGGGGTTACAGTCACATCTGCTTACTTACAGTGAGATTGTTAAAGAGTTGTCTTCCCCAGCCGATAGCTAGATAAAGTCTTACAGCAGGGGAAAGGAAAAGGCCTGGAAAGAAAAAGTACTGGAGCTGTTTGCTGTGAGTCCTTACCACCCTTTCACAACATTCTGCCAATACTGTGGGCTTTTGCTCACTTTTGCTGATCATCCTTCCCTACTGCTTACCTCTGTGAGGTAATTAGAAAGCATTGATTTTTCTAGCTGTAGTGACTGTCATGTGCCTTCTCATACCTGTATCGCTTTGGGGCACTGGGCAGCATCACCCCTTCTGTGATCAGGTGATACGCCGGCTGTTATTGACGTTGCCAGCTGATGCTGACCTTTCCCCAGCAGCCAGCCAGCATTTCCTTGTAGTCGAGGGACTTCTGAAGAGACAAGTGATAAATATAGATACGAGCACTTATCTTGTTTCTAACGTGCAACTGACACTTTCACTTTGCAAACAGGAATTCCATTCCTGCTACTGTCCCAAAATGTTTCTTAAAAAGTGCTTAGGCAGCTTTGACTCCAAAAGTGATTTGTATTTGGAAATTTCAACTTACAAGTGTGTAGCTGCTAAATTCTTCAACTACTGCCTTGGAAAGAATGTACCTGTTTTGAAGTGATCCAGAGTTCCAGATTGAGTCTGCTGGTGACATCTGACAAAAAGCCTGGGGCAGATAGATTCAGCGTGTGCTGACAGGTGGTGGTTGTGACAGCAGAACAGTGAAAGCAAGTCACTGGAAAAAAGTGATGTGAGTGAGTTGGTTCTGCTAAAGGCTGGCTTAGTCAGTGCAATTAGCTCTACAGAAAGGCTCAGGTGTCTGAATACGGAGAGAATTTTGTAATTCCTCATGATCAAAATTGACAGGCTTGCTTTGCCACAAGTCAGGGCGTTAAATACCATCCAGTGTGTCAGGGTTGTTTATTGTTATGCTCTTCTGCCATAAATCGTAATTGTTTTTTGTTGGGAAATAGGATTTTGGCTGTACAACTAAAAAAAATCCACAAGGTATTCACTGTGTAACTTTCAAACTTTAAGGGAACAAACTTTTTTTTTCTATTTTCAAGTTGAAAAAAAAGTAAGGATTTTCTAGACCATCTGAAATGGAAGTCTGAGCTGAGGCTTAGATTATGTTAATGTTAATGTTTCATAATAGACATCACTAGCTAGAATTCTCAACAGTTTAAGTGTGGCAGTTAACAGCCTGCATAATGAATCATAGAATGGCCTGGGTTGAAAAGGACCACAATGATCATCGAGTTTCAACCCCCCTGCTATGTGCAGCATTGCCAGCCTCCAGACCAAGCTGCCCAGAGCCACATCCAGCCTGGCCTTGAATGCCTCCAGGGATGGGGCACCCACAGCCTCCTTGGGCAACCTGTTCCAGTGCATCACCACCCTCTGGGTGAACAACTTCCTCCTAATATCTGACCTAAACCTCCCCTGTCTCAGTTAAAACCATTCCCCCTTGTCCTCTCACTATCCATCCTCATAAACAGCCGTTCTCCCTCCTGTTTATACGCTCCCTTCAAGTACTGGAAGGCCACAATGAACTCTCCCTGGAGCCTTCTCCACGCGAAACAAGCCCAGTTCCCTCAACCTTTCCTCATAGGAGAGGTGCAAATCATGCAAATGATGGACGTATGTTTTAGATTTAAAACAGATTCTGAATTTCAGTTTGGCCAACAAAGCTTTTGTGTGTAATAATCTACACTTGATGTTGTACGGGGAGTTTCTTCCTCCTCTTGGCATCAGGGAAGCAAAGTATGTTCTTCCAGCCCAAATGCAAATGTTTTAAAATATAATTGCAAACCAAAACTTTTGCATCTCAGGAATTTATTTTTTTCCTAGGTTGTCTTTCTCAGCAGCTGTGTGATTATGTGTGTGTTCATATCATATGAAACCGTACGTAGTTCATCTCTTTCACAGTAAATCTAAGCTATAATTTTACTTGGGGAAAAAGAAACCAATGCTGTATGATTACATGTGGATCTGACTGTCATTTAATATCTTCCATCATCCTGTGGTGTTTGAACAGCAGGGTGGCAGCCTTTCCAGGTAGGCAAGATAGTGATCACAGGATCGTAAATAATGCAGGAACTTGACAGAGACCAGAATAAGAAGGAAATGTCCTCCATGGATTACACTGGTATTTGGAGCATTAGCTCTGCGTGCTGGAGTCAGGAGTCCTGATGCTTTGTACCATTCGGCACATAGGAATTCGCTCTGTGACACATCACTGGGAGCAGTGTGGCAATAGCTGCCACTCAGGCACCTCAGCTGGCAGCTGTGCAGTCGCACACCTCAGAGCAGCTCACTGTGGGGTTTGTAGAGGCTGCTGTGTTTTTACACTGCTCTTAACGTGGGGCATCTGTTAGTATGGCTTTGGCTTGAGAGGTGAGCGTGGGTTATGTGACACAATTTGCACTGGGCACAAAGGAGTGAGAATGTGCTGGAGGCATCCTGAAGTGAAAATGCACAGAATAACAGTTAGCAGTGTTCTCTAGAACCAGAGGTATGGGATAAAATACCTTCTGATCCGTGGATTGTAGCTGGTAAAGAAGTGCTACATCATTTCACTGGCATTCAGGTCAACACTGTGAGCCAGCCCAACAGAAACAGGTGTGAGCAATTCCTCCTCCGTATCCTCCAGCAGCTGGTGGGGCTCTTGTGGGACTCCCAGTCAGTGCCTTCCAGTACCATCATACAGCAGTGGTGGTACAGCTGCAGCTGACAGATAATAGGGGTGGATTTTGTATCTCTTAGGAGTGGTGTCCTACACCACTACCCAAAACTCCTAGCTAGAATTAGCTGAAATGATTCTGTGACAAAGGAATCGCAGGGAAAAGGTCATTCTGGAGTTCCTCTGTGCAGTAAAGTGTAAAAACAGTTCCTAAGGGTCTTCAGCAGTGAGCTGGGCAAGGATGCAGCACAGCAGGTGTGTGTTTGTGGGAGGGCCGGCTGAGAAGTGCTTGCTGATGCAGGGGTTTGGTACAAGAAAAATTTTCAGGCCGTGAAGCTGCTGGGTGAACTCCTTTGCTTTCAGAGAGCGGCAGCTCTCTAGAATGAAGAGCGAACTATTTGAAACCACCCATAAAATGCTGTCAGTGTCTCATTATGCAATTCCAGCATAAGCACAGCAGGATCAGAACCACCCTTAGAGCCAGGGTTGGGGTTCAGGCCAGGGTTGGGGCTTGGTGGCATTTCCTGTAGGAAAGTATTAGGAAGGTACCTCTCTCTCACAAGTGTGTAGCTGTTATTTGACTCTTCCAGACAAACCAGTTAAAATCCAGTGCTGATCTCCATGTCCCCCATGATTGCCAAGTTTCAGGAAATTCAGTACGTTATTCCTTGGTACGTACACATTATCCTGACAGCACATAAGCATTACACTAAAGAGCCTTTAACCAAAATCCTGACTAGAACATCGTGACCTTGGCTTGAGAGCAGAAAGCAGCACCGGGGCGGGGCCATTGGCCGCGGAGCTCCGAGCCCGAGGATGAGCGGCGGCGGCGGCGGCTTCCCGGCGCGTCCCGGCCCGGCGCTGTCTGCCCGCGGTGCCCGCATCGCCGCAGGCGTGCCGGGGCTGCTGGACGGGGGCTTCGCCCTCTACGTCTCCGATCCCTTCGACCGGGAGCGCAACCCCGAGGTGCGGGCGGCGGCCAGGGGGCTGCGGGGAAACGGCGCTCTGCCGGTGTGGTTCAGTGTCGTCTCTTCCAGGGCATCGTGAACCTGGGGACCAGCGAGAACAAGCTGTGCTTTGATTTGATAGAGGAGAGAGTAAGTGTGGCGGCCTGCCGGCTCCTTTGCTGTTTTCTAACAATTTCAAAGCGTCCGGGTAACAATTTAGCATGGAGAAAATCGCCCGTAGGGCTGCTTTCACAAGGATGCACATCACACGTACTGTGTGAATGTTGTGTCTGCTAAGTAACATAATGAAAATTTGCCTCAGGTTGCAAACCCCAATTTGGTTTTGCTTCAGCTTCGTACACAAAGAACTGAAGGTGCTCTATTTTCGCAGACACAGCTGTGCACCTGTAAGGGCCGTGTGGTCGGTGCCCAAACGAGTGTCTGCTGGCAGAGCCACAGCTCAGACCACAGAGTGCTCAGTGTGCAGAATGCAGGCTTGGAGCAGAATTAATGCTACAACTGAGAACGTAAACTGCTGTTCTCAGGGCTGGGCTCTGAGAGCAGCCTTTAAAGGAGTTTTTTCCCCACTCTATTAATTCTAGTTTACCTGCTTGAAAACAAGATGTTCTGGCTCAGGTGCTGGCAAATTGGGACCTTGTGGCCAGACCTTCTGTTGGGAGCACGTTAACTCCTGTGTTCCTTGCATGCAGAGATGATTTGCACCAGTGCAACTGCTGGCAACTTTGTGGTGCTGGTGAGGGAGGACCATGCACAAAGCCAGTGTCCAGCTCAGCTAAGGGGTCAGCAGAGCTGGCAACAGTTGGAGATTGTTATAGGAATGAACCCAAACTGGGGCCACAGTGAATATCAGACAGTTTACACAGGGACACCTGTGCTGAGGGCAGGAAAGCCATTGCTGATAGCACAGCTGCTTTCCTTCTATAGCACATAGTGTGTTATTTCTGCTGGTTGAGAAGCTCATCAAGGTTGGTATTAACATCTGATGTCAGCAATTTGGAAAGAATTGTTTGGGCTTTGATACATCTCAGCAGCAGTTGTGTGAGCAGCTGGCCTGCTTCTCCTCTATGTGGGATTAAGTATATGATGGAGAAAAGCAATAAGTAATTCCTTCATTCTTTTCTTCCTTTGTTTTGATGTCTTAATGCTGTTTCTAGTATCTTAGAGAAGTGCAAATCATAAAACTTTATCTAATATATATTTCTTTAATATTCTCCATTTCCTTATTGTTATGGAACAACTAAAACCAAAAAAGTATGGTACAGCAGAGTGGAAGATCCCAATTACTCCGTGCTCTACATTGTCTCTCTCTCATGTCTCCAGCTCACACGGCCTGACATGGACTGCCTGCAGCCCGATCTCTTCCAGTACCCTGACACGCAGGGTGCGAGGAGGTATGAAGTTCATCTTCCCCTTTCTGTCCCCGCTTGAGCTCCATGTTCATGAGTTGCAGTGTGTGGCTTCATTCTCCTGCTGAGCCTGAAGGGTGGGTGTGCTAATGGCAGCTGCTCATGGATGTGCTTTTGCTTGCCTGGCTTTTTGTTCTGTTGTTTTCTCTATCCTTACAGTGCTAAAAACTGGCAAAGGATCTGGTGTCTGGCTGGGTGCAAGACATGTGCACAGGCAGCTCTTCAGAGCTGAGGGTGGATGACTCCTGGGAGGGCTCATCCCAGACTTAGAGAGGGGTGAATGGGAGCTCTGTGGGCTGCCAGGCCTGAGTACTGCTCCTGGAGAACAGTGGAGCAGCCTTCACCACACATGGGAGCTCCCTTGGAGCCATCATTCACCAGGTCCCACTGCTTCTGGTGCCCACATCCTAGTGCTCCACTTTGGCTCCAATGAGTTTCTTTATTTTCTTGCTTTTCCACTGTGCAGAAATAACAGCTGAGTCACAGCCACTGCTGCTCAAGGCTGCAGATATCTTCTGTGTGCTTTGTATCTCACAAAATGTAGCTCTCTGTGTATCTTAGGAAATTATATTGTTTAAGCTGTAGGAAGTAAAAAATCTTCAAGTCTTTCATAACAGAATGGTGTGTTTGTTCTTTTTGGTTGGGGTTTTTTTTTCGTTTTGTAAACTTCATTTTTCTATGCATCTTTTGTGCTTTTTCTTCTGAGAAATATGCAGTTACATCACTGACTCTAATTCTTCTGTATTTTAGCTTCAGAGAAGAAATTGCCAAATTTCTGACTCACTATGCCAGAGCCACAAAAGAACTTAGACCAGAACATGTAAGCAAATTGCCTTATGTCTGCAGTTTATTTTGTCTTGAACTGATAAAAGATAAGTAAACATGAGCACAAATGTCAGCAGGATACTGCAGGAGAGATTTATGTCATCCCAGAGCACAGGAGTTGAGCAGGGGCCTTATGGCGGCTGCAGCTCCTCACAGGGAGCGGAGGGGCAGCGCTGAGCTCTGCTCTGTGTGACAGCGACAGGCAACGGCATGGAGCTGCGTCAGGGGAGGGCAGCTGGGGGTCAGGGGAAGGGTCTGCACCAGAGGGCGGTGGGCATGGAATGGGCTGCACAGGCAGTGGGCGCAGCCCCAGGCTGCTGGAGTTCAAGGAGTGCTTGGACAGCGCTCCCAGATACGTGATTTGATTTTTGGGTGGTGCTGTGTGGAGCCAGGAGTTGGATTTGATGACCCTTGTGGGTCCCTTCCAACTTGGGATGTTCTGTGATTCTCTATGCATGATCTACAGAAGCATCAGTAGTGCCAATTTTCTATTTGAAAAAGTGGTCAGTGAGTGACAGTCGAGCACTTTATATGATAGTTGTGGTTGTGTGGCTTCTTCACTCTTCCGTTTTGAATTTAAACCACAGAGGTGGTGGTATCTCAGCTAAGGAGCATTTGTTCTGCTTTTTTCAGATCACTGTCATGAATGGCTGCTGTGCAGTTTTTGCCACTCTGTCAACTGTGCTGTGTGATCCTGGTGGTGAGTAAAAACCTGAATGCTTTTTGCTTGAAAGCATTTATCAGTGCTTCAGGGAGACCTGAGAGTGGTCTGTCAGTATCTGCAGGGCTGTAAGAAAGAAGGGGACAGAAACTTTAGCAGGATCTGTGGTGATAGAACAAGGGGAAATGGTTTCAAACTAAAAGAGGGGAGATTTTGACTGGATATGAGGAGGAACTTTTTACAATCAGGATGGTGAGGCACTGGAACAGGTTGCCTAGAGAGGTGGTAGATGCCCCATCCCTGGAGACGGTCGAGATCACACTGGATAGGGCTCTGAGCAACCTGTTGTACTTGTAGGTGGCCCTGCTCACTGCAGGAGAGTTGAACTAGATGACCTTTAAAGGGCCCCTTGCAACTCAAATGATTCTGTGATTCTGTTTACAAGTTAAAAGTGAACACGATAGCATTGTGTCTAAATGACAGCTTGCTTTCCTTGTAACTGGATGAAGCATAGCATGGACTTAGCGTTTCTTTGTTTCTAGTAAAGTATCTTTGAACTAATGCCTCCGATTATTTCTATAAGGTTGGAAAACATTTGAGGTACCAGCAGGCCAGCCACTTTCTGGAACATAATCTATAGGGTTTTGGGGAGGAGCAGTATAGGAAGAGAAAGGGTGTAAAGATAACACAAAGTGAACTTTGAAGAGTGATGAGAAAAAAAGATGGGAACTACATAGAATCTGAAGAGAGCAGCACACAGAGAGAAAGTGGACTGGGGAAGGAAAGCATCCATAAGGAAATTGGGAAAAGGGAGTGGATCTGTAGCAAGAGAGGGATTTTCAGCCAAGAGAATTCCTGGAGTAGGTGTGAACAACATCCATGGGCACCCATCGGAGTGGGAAGGTGAGCGGGATGACTTCAGCACATGGTGGTAAAGAGGCTGTGAAATCAGTTTTGCTTAAAATGGTAAAGAAAATGTTTACTCAAGGTTACTCATATTCATGTCCTACTTTAATATGTTCAGATTTTTTGCATTTACAAAGCTTTAACAGAAACTCTTTTGCCTGAAGACTGACAAACTCCTTTCTCCCCTTCTTTAATAGGAGGAAAGGAAGTACACTGTCCTCTCTGAAACCCTGTCACATGGGGTATTGGCAGGGAAGCACCAACCTGGGGCTTCTCACAGAAATAAAAAAGCAGGAGGGAAAGAAGTTCCACGATGCTGCAGGATTCCATGCTGCAGTTTAGCACTTTAGCAGCCAGGGAGAAGTACTTAAGGTTTGCAGTAGTTCCTGATGAAAAATTAAGAGCACATTGACAAAATGTTGTGAGCAAGATAGTTATCTGTCACTATTTTATTAGAATAAGTCACACAGCAGGTTGACTAGGTCCATACCCTTTTACTCATATGACTTGATACACATCTACTATTGAAAATGCTAGGGAAGAGGACTGGGTAGAATTCAGGTTGACTGACAAGTACAAAATTTTCAACTTAGTTTGAATATTGTTTTAGGCAGCAGTGAATCCTTTGAGTTGAAATCACGTCAAATTCCTCGACTGGTAGTTCAATTTACTAGTGTCTTAGCAAAGTGATTCCTCATGAGAAACCTTAACTTTCCTAACTTTTTCCTTTTTCTAAATACTTTCAGATGGATATCTTATTCCAGCTCCTCACTATGGTGGTATAAATTCAAAAATGTGGCTATATGGTGGACTGCAGCCCGTGCATGTGCCCTTGTCCAGTGAGGTAAAGACAGGTTCATATGCTTTAGCAGTATTCTTCCCTCCTTGAAGCAGTGCCATCAGAAACTGTAGTTTGTTTAGCTTATTTAAGAGCCAGTATTGAGTACGTTTTTCACTGGGTGGGAGTGTTTCCTACTTTGTTCTCGCTGATTGTTTTTCTCCCGTAGGTGACTAACGAAGAAACTCACCCTTTCCAGTTAACAGCTGAAAAATTAGAAGCTGCACTACAGAGAGCTAAAAAGCAGGTAGCAATAGCAGTGTCTTCTGATTTTTCAGATTTTCCTTATGTTTTTTTTAAGTTGCATATGCTCTTGCTATCAAACCATTTGTGTATCTTCATCCATGCAGATATTCTGGAGAAGAGGAGGGGGGTCCAACTCTAGCAACAGGGATTGCATTTGTTTCTGTAATCTGTAGCAAAATGCAGAGAAACTCGTCACTGTGTTTTATGAATAGATCTTAATTTGTCTTTCAAGACTAAGTCTCTTGCTTGGTAATGGAACTCAAAGTATAGTAAAGAAGCTGTTGTTCAGATCCTAAAAGAGAGAATATGTTACTGTAATAATGTGTGTAGTTAAGTAAAGGAATTTGTTGAATGTGCTTCTGAGGAGGGCTCTTCTGGAGCACAGAGGACAGAATCTGCTGTACTACAATGTCACTGGGAGCTTGGTGGGGTCAGGAGGTTTGGCACAGGATGTTTCTTCCACTAGGATGGCTCCTCAGAAAATATATAATTTTTACAGAATTTAGGAAATGTCATTAGACCAAAAGTCTTAGCATTTTGAGTTGTTTTATTCTGATCAGGTTTGTGTAAATGAGGATATTATTTCTCATATTGTTAAATATATTTTTTTCCCTCTTTGTCTTTGGAACTTTTTTTTTTTTTTTTTTTTTTGTAGAAATGCTTGGTTTTGTGAGTGCCCACAAAGCAGTGCTCACCAGTGTTTCAAGATCAAATGCTTCCTGTTCTTAGTGTCTTGGTATTTATGGTCCACAAACTTCTTGAAAAACTGCAAATGCACTCAGCCTTTGTGCTCTTCCTTGATAGAATCCAGCAGGGGAAGCATAGGATGAGTAGTAACACATTTTATCAAAGATGTGGTGAGGGTAGTGGTGTTACAGAAGACTAACGCAGATTTGTTATGTCCTTTTCTAGGATAGAAAATAAGGTTTAACAACAGATACCACAGATAGGCACAAGTAGGGTCACTTGTAGTAAGGTCACATATAAAAAAGTGGATATTTTGTATACACATGGATGTGTGTATAGTTTTTATTTTAATGTAAGACATGTCAAAGCTCTCCTATTTACCCAACTGCTTCGTCAGCACAGTGCCTATGTTTAGACACCATCTGTATGTCTGTGTCATCAGCCAGTGCCTCTGCCAGTCTGTGTAGGACTGAATGTGCAGCTGCCCACCAGCCCTCCTTGCTGGGCAGGGTGTGAGAGCCATGCTCGTGTGATGTGGACTGCCCAGACAAGGTGTGGGGTCACAGGGCACAGGTGTGTGATCCTAGAGCTGAAACTGATCTCGTGGGTAACATTGCAAACATCTGTTTGGATACGTGCAAGGTAGTAAGCAGACAAGAAGAGCAGTTGTGAATCTGCCATCCCTCAGCAGCTGTTCCTGTGAACATGAATGCCTCAGCATCTTCTGCTTAATGTGTATCAGCTGTCAGATATGCCAAGCACGCTTTGGGTTTAGTATCTGCATCGTTCCCCATTAATTTTTTACTGTTTGGACTCCAAGGCAGTAAGCTGAAAGCTCCTACTGTGAGCAAGAGCTGAACAAGAAACCATTAAATTTCAGACAAATTGCATATGGAGGGGAAAGCAAGTATTGGTGCTTCCACCTAATTTAATTTCCTGGAGTTCCTCTGGAGATGCTTAACACAAATGATCTCCTTCAGAGAAGGCCAGGATGGACTGAGAATATGCAGTGTGTCCGTTTTTCTGAAACTTAAATGTGCTGAAACAAAAAGTACTGATTTAAGTTTATTCCAAACATGAAGGAATGAGGTAATGCCTCATGCTGGTGCATTTAAAGTCTTGAAAGTTTTTGTTGCAGCCATTAACTGTTTGCCTGCTTGCAATCAAATCTGTTTGGAAGTGTATCTTAGGACCACTGTTCATCCCCCCCCCGTCGTGATCTTGCCTGTTGGGGTCAGTGGATGCTTCAAATGAGCATTAACCTGATTTTCATTCACTAACAAACCTTTTGGTGTGATCTTGGCATTTCACAGGATGAATACTGAAACAAAACCTGCAGTTTAATCTGCATGCTAATGTATACCAGGTATAATTCAGTGATTTCTAAAAGCCAACTTTCCATGGAAGGGAACGGTCTGCTCTTGCTGCATCCTCCAGTTTCAGTTTGGTGTCACTGCTGTCTCCCACTGCTGGTTTTTCTTTTTTTCAGGGCATCAGAGTGAGAGCATTAGTCCTCATCAACCCTAACAACCCCTTAGGGGACATTTACCCAGCGCAGTTACTGAAGGAATGCCTTGACTTTGCACACAGGTTTGAGCCCTGGCACTATTTGTTTGGTATTCAGTTTTCCATTATGCAACACAGCGATGAAGAAAAATTACCTTTGTTACCTCTTGTTCTTTGTTCCTGTTCTGAGGAGGTGGCATGCATGGACGTGAGCTTGGCTTCTGTGTAACTACCCTTTGTGCTTGGCTTTTCTGGGAGCACAAAAATAAAATGGGATCTCTCTGAGATCCAACAGTTTGTTTTGAAATGAAATACTGTTGGGATTATTTAAAAAAAAAATCTTGTGATTTCTATGTGTGAAATCAATGTGGTGAATGTGATAGCAAATAGGCATGCTATTATGGATACTTTGCCATGTCAGTAGTTAAGATTATATAGAAATATATATATGTGGAAATAAATTCATTTTAAATACATTAAAATGCCTGTGTTTTTTTATACACAGACATGAACTGCATGTAATAATGGATGAAATCTACATGCTGTCTGTTTATGATGATACCCCCTTCACCAGTGTTCTTAGCTTAGATAGGTAAGTGTGATTTCTTAGCATGGGTCAAGATATTTAATCCAAAATGGAAACTATGCCTTTTTAAAAAACTTTCTGCTTAGCTAGTATAACTGTGTATTTCTAACTAACTCATATTCAGGTCTTTGCATCTGTGAGAATTGTTAATACAAGAGATGCTTCTAGAGTGACATGAACAGATCTCTTGGTTGTAGCTAATGTGCATGGCATAGTAATAGCAATCAAAAATTGACAGAGCCCTTCATCTTTCTCAAGTGACCTGCTGCCATGAGTCTCTTTCCTGACTAGTGTGCTGTTGGGCACTTAGTGTTCTCTGGCAGGAGATGGAAAGAGTAATTCTTCAGGAATGCTTAAACCTATTGGTATCTGACTAATAGAACTTCTTTCTCCGGAAGTGTGGTCTTAACTGTATAATTATCTCACTGATAGGAAATTTCCAAGTCCATCCAAGTATAACCAAGTAGTCAGCTACTGGTTGTTGTCTCAACCACATAAGATCATAAGCTATAAATAATGCCCGAAAAAATGCTGTTGTTGCTGTGAAAGTTCACCTAGCTTTATTAAGCTGAAGAAGGAAATTTCCAGGCTTAGCCCTATTAACTCAGAGTTAGACAAAGGAGAAAATGGCATCATCTTCAGTAGTCTACAATGGAGTATTCTGTTTGATTGTACCAAATCATGTAAATACATGACCTGAAATGTTCACCTCTCCCTTCCCCGGCCTGAAACACAGCAGAGCGGAGCAGAGTTGTTCTCTGTTGAGTACAAGACCCGTTTTGCATCCCTTATGGAAATACTGCTTTTGTTCTAATATAGGTGTGAGCGCTGACTGTGCAGCAGGAATCTGGGAAATATAACTGGTCTGTTACATCTTACTAGAAGTCCTTTTCTGTTATTTCATGTCTGTGCCTCCTAGAATACTACATGCGTTTTGTTACAAGTTCTCTGAAAACATCCATGCCACTTGAAAAGTTTGAATGCTAATTTCACTGAAAATGAATGATAATTTTACATATTCAATCATTTTTGTATGCCTGCACAACTTGTTCATCTACAGCAACAATTCTTATCTTCTTTTCTCATTCAGTTTACCAGATCTTGAACGAACACATTTCATGTGGGGTTTTAGCAAGGTAAGTCAAAATATTATCTTTGTGTTTTAAGATATTTCACCACAAAACTTATTTGAACTATTCTGACATAATTTGTATTACATATAACAAACTGAGCTTCTCTTTATTCATTACTTTCTCCCTTGGCAGTCTAGAATTTATTAATTTTAGCAGTTTAATTAGGGATCTACTTAACAGAAACAGTTAATGCTTATTTATACAGCCACTGTGGCTATATTTTCTGGGGAAAATTACAGTGGAAGTATGCATATAAGCACCTTCTGATCTGTAGCATTTTGTCTTTTCTTCTCTTGGAGGGAACACTAAACTGATGGCTGATTGGAACAGGGGTTTAATGGGGTATAATGGAGACTGCCAAGGGCTTGAGTCAAGCCTCTTTCAGTTGTTGGCCTTGAAAGCAATCTTGGTAAAGCCAGTGGTCTGTCTTTCATTATTCTTGCCTATAACTAAAGGTACACAAAATATTTATCTGAGAAACACGAAAGGCTTAAAAACTGAGTTAATGAAGAGCAGTGTAGGGCTTTTAACCAAGTTGTGTTATTTTATGCTGCTTTGCCAGTGTTGCCTTCACATTCTCCTTCACCATCTCCTTCTCCCTCTGCCTCTCCTGTCTCACAGTTGTTTGGATGTTACTGATTGTTTCCTGCTGTTCTTGGGACTACATTTGTCCAAGTGTGCTCCAGAAGATAAGTTAGATGTTTCCAGTTAATGTAATGAGCAGAAATTTCCATAGCCACTTGTTTGTTCTGCAGTCCTGTCAGGCTTGGGTAAATGAGACCTCCAATTTGGCATGGGGAATGTTTGCAAAGATTTCATGATGCAGGCAACATAATCTTATACCTCCTGTTGCAGACAGGGATTAATTTGGTACCTTATTCAGTGGACGTTATACTGTCTGTTTGTGTTTGTTTGTTTGGGGATGGAGCAGTCCCTGCATTGTACATAAAATGACCCTAGGAATGGCAGTAGGTCAGTATTTTTAACTTTGATGTTACTCTATACTTTTTATCCTAAATTTCTTGGTCATGGTCTTTCATTCTCTGCTTGGCTAATGACTTCCTTGCTGTTAATGCTCAATGAGGAGCTAAGTGCTGTTTTCATTAATATTAAGAATTCTTTCATCAGTAATAACGCAAGAGATATGCTGATAATAACTACATTGATAGATGTTGCTTGCCATCGAGTTGGTGGCTTGCAGTAATAGAATTTAGGATTTCATGTCTTGTGCACTGAACCATATGGCTTTCTGCATAGGGACTCAGTGAAATTTGACTTTAATATGTATATGCTATTGCATACTTACGTAGCTTTTGGAAATATTTCTGAACAGTGACTGTTGCAGAATACGTACTTCAGTAGGCTCTGATGACAATGCCAAACTTAATTTTTGTAGTTACTCATCTGTTCTCAATATTTTTTAATTCTTCATCATAGAATCACCGACTTTGGAAAAGACCTCCAGTATCATCCAGTCCAACCATCCACCTACTACCAATATTTCCCACTAAACCATGTCCCTCAGTACAACATCTAAATGTTCCTTGAACACCTCCAGGGATAGTGACTCCACCACATCTCTGGGCAGCCCACTCCAATGCCTGCTGTGTTATCAAATGTTTTATTGTGTTATCAAAGATTATTTTTGCAGAGCAGGAACATTTATTTGATCAAACAGCTGATGTGGTAACATGATGGGGACTATGTGGAGCTTGCTGGGGGTCCATCCCTGTGGGGATCCACAGTTAGCCTGACTCCTATGAGGCCATGGGCTTCACAGGCCTAAATGGCAAAAGCAAGGTCTGCTTAGTTACTATGTTTGTTGCTTCTGCTGTGCTGAGGTGGTGGTCACGGGTGGTGATCTTTTACAATAGGGAACTGTACACTTTGATCAAGAACAAACACTGGACGTAGAAACAAGATGCAATATAGATATGGTTGCTTAGGGAGGCCTTGAAACTGTTGAGACTTGTATGCAAGAAATACACAATCATCTATATATTTATATATATGTGTATGCTGGTGTGTTGGATATAGAAGAATAATAATACAGGACTTTCTTAAGAACATGACAGAGGCCTCTGGTTGCTGAACTGCGACAGTAATGTACCTTTTCTTAAGATTTATTTTCCTTTACATCAGAATGATTCTAAACTTGGTGGCTTGATAAAGAACAAGCATAAAGTAAAAATTGCTTCTCTCCATCTTCTTCTTGTCCTCCCAGGATTTTGGTATGAGCGGGATCAGAGTTGGGGTACTGTACACCAGAAATCATGAAGTTCAGAAAGCTGTGAATCAACTAGCTGTCTTCCACAGCTGTCCTGGGCCCGTTCAGCATGTTCTCACTCAATTCCTTAAGGACAGAGGTTAGCCCCACTAGAAATGTTCTATTCAGCTGGTTGTTTTTTTTTTTTTTGCTATGTTTTTTTTTTAATTATTATTTTTATTACAGGTGGAAATAAATAGAATTTTGTTTGTCTTGATTTTATAGATTGGTTGGATAATGTGTTTTTTCCCACCAACAAGAAGAGACTTAAGGAAGCACAAAATCTTCTTGTGGATGGACTTGCAGACATTGGAATACCTGTGCTGAAAAGTTCAGGAGGACTCTATGTGTGGGCAGACTTCAGAAAAGTATGTAAGAGCTTCAAAATAGTGGGAATGTAGAAGCTGAAAATATGAAATTGTGCATGTTGTTAAGTGCTTTAATATCTGGTCATAGAAAGCTCTTTCAGTCAGTGTATTTGTTCAATCTTTAATAATAATTTATTTTCCTTTTTTTTTTTTAGTTCTTAAAATCACAGACATTTGAAGCTGAACTCGAACTATGGCAGAAGCTCCTTGATAAGAAACTCCTGATTAGTCCTGGAAAAGCTTTTTATTGTTATGAACCTGGATGGTTTCGGCTAGTTTTCTCTGATTCTGTGAATAAGATTTATTTATGTAAGTTGGTTTTACTTTTAATACATCGTGTAGTAGCATGCAAGCCTTGGGAAACATTAGCATTATTCAAATCTGCTTATCCCCTCTCAGCTTGTGAGGGCATTATTAGCCCTTGTATGAAACTGAGAAATACTAGCATAGCCCAGAGCGTTGGTTACTGAGCACTACTCTTGGGTTATGTCAAACCTTTCCAGTTTGTGGAATTGCATCTTAAGAATTGTTTTTTCTATATTGGAAGTCGCTGCTGCTTCTTGAAAATTACCCATTATATCATGCTGGCATTCCACAGCACCCCTAATCTGTACGTGCTTCATATGTGAGATATGAAAAATTTACCCATTCTTTATGCACTAAAATATGTAATCTTGAACAATTGCTATATATTATTGGCAAAAGGGATTTCTGTGAAGTAAAGGAAGTGTATGGAGTAACAAAAAAAAATGTAGGTTGGGAGGGAAATCTACTACTTCAACTTCCTGCTGAGAGTAGGGCCAGGTGCTAATAAATCAGTGCTCAGAGCCTTCTTTAATTAAGTTTCGGGACTATTTAAAACAGATTACACAGCATCTCTGAGCAATCTGTGTCCAGTCAACTTTTCCCTTCTATTTTCACCATTTCTACTGGATAAGAAAAGCTTGAACTGAGTTATGTTTCCCTTTGATAGGTATTGAGAGACTTCAGCAAATGCTGCATGCTGATGATGCCAAACCAGTTGTAAACAACACATCTTCTACTGCAGACTCTTCATGCAGCCCAGAAAAAGATTCTTCTGGCATACCATCAAATACACCACGAGATGATGCCTCCCAGCTAAAAAATATATTTGTTTTTTAAATTTATCTGTGTGTTTAATTACTGATGAAATTTAGCATGCTTATGTTTACTAAAGGATTACATTACTTAGGTATTTTTGGCTGTAACATTGCATAACAGCCTCACTTCACTGTGACTTGGCATTTCTAGTCATGCCTGTTGAATGAAATTTGAAGAAATTGAACCTTTTAGATATTCTGAAATTTGCCCTTGTTGAGCACTGCCTCCACCTTTATTCAATTTAAAGTGTATTAAGCATCAGTGAAAAGCAAGAAGTCTTACATATATACCTGGATGGCAGATTATGAAATTTTGAACATACTGGTAAAAAGTATGCAGATAGCTATATGTAGTGGGCTGCATATTTTAATCAGAAGACTGCAAATACTAAATCAGGTGATATTTAAGTTCTAAATTTTTGTAGCTGTCAAAAATAAGAGAGACTGTCAATAATTTCAAATGCCTGTAATGCTCCAAAACCAGCAGTGTAGTGCAATACAGGGTTAAATATCAAGTTTTTAAGTAACTCACTACATGCACATGAGATGTGTGCCCATGTTCAGCATGTCGCAGCAGTTAATCCTAAGATCATGTCACTCCTGAGTTTTGCTCTCCTTCTCACTTTGTTGAGCTTCCTGTTTGCTGCTCTATCAAATTACCAAGCATCCAGAAGTACAAATGACAGTCCTTAAAAAGATATTCACAGTAACCATCACCATCCCCTCAAACATCTCCCATCTTCTCTGTAGTCCGTAACTTTTCACTGGGGTTCAATTCTGACAATAAATGCAACATAATTCATTGATCAAGGGGCCATCCCATCAGTGAGGAAAATATTTCACTGATGAGTCGGTATGTTGTGTTCACTCTCTCATTAATACACTTCTACAATATCTTAAGATTTTTTCCATCCATAGAAATACTATTACATGAAAATACATTCCACAGCCACCTTGCCAGAATGCCTCAAGGAGCAGTCCTGTACTTTCCTTTAGGTAAAAATGGCACTTTGCTGATAGTTGAGGGCAGCCAAAATATTTGGCTTTGTTGTGTGTTCAACCAACTAATAGCAAAGTAAAGAAGAAGATCATAGCAATGGGTATGAAAAGTCCTTGTGCTGCCTCGGTATGGTCTGCAGAGTGCTGCACTTCCATGGGCTGACTTTGGAGCTCAGTCACTGTCTTTGTTAGATCCTTGTAAGAAGAGGGAAGAAAACAGCACGTATGTTCAGTTTTGCATTTTGGAATTTCTGCAACTTACATTGAAAGAGAAGTACTCACCATCTGTTTTATTTGGCAAGAAATTGCTATGTAAAAGGGACAATATAGAGAACTGTCACAGAATCACAGAATCGCAAGGTTGGAAACGACCTGCAAGATCATCTAGTCCAACCACCCTCCCATTCCTATTAGTACCACAAGCTACTAAACCACATCTCGTAGCTCCTCATCCAGGCACCTCTTGAACACTGCCAGGGACGGCGACTCCACCACCTCCCTGGGCAGCCATTCCAGTGCCTGACCACTCTCTGAGAGAAAAAGTTTCTCCTAATGTCCAACCTAAACCTCCTCTGGTATAACTTCTGGCCGTTTCCTCGGGTCCTACTATTTGCCTGGGAGAAGAGGCCAGACCCTTTTGCACTACAACCTCCCTTCAGGAAGTTGTACAGTGCAGTGAGGTCTCCCCTGAGCCTCCTCTACTCCAGACTGAACAATCCCAGCTCCCTCAGCCGCTCCTCATAAGCCCTGTGCTCCAGACCCCTCACCAGTTTCATTGCCCTTCTCTGGACAAGCTCCAGGGCCTCAATGTCTTTCTTGTAGTGAGGGACCCAAAACTGAACACAATACTCGAGGTGCGGCCTCACCAGTGCTGAGTACCAGGGGACGATCACCTCCCTGCTCCTGCTGGCCACACCATTTCTAATGAAGGCCAGGATGCCGTTGGCCCTCTTGGCCACTTGGGCACACTGCTGGCTCATGTTCAGCCGAGCATCAACCAACACCCCCAGGTCCCTTTCCTCTTCACAGTCATCCAACCGCTCATCCCCAAGCCTGTAATGCTGCATGGGGTTGTTGTGGCCAAAGTGCAGAACCCGACAATTGCCCTTGTTAAACCTCATCCCATTCACCTCAGCCCAGCGATCCAGCTTATCCAGATCCCTCTGCAGGGCCTCCCTGCCCTCAGGCAGATCTACGCCACCTCCCAACTTGGTGTCATCTGCAAACTTACTCAGGGTACACTGAATCTCTTCATCTAAGTCATCAATGAAGATATTAAACAGGATGGGCCCCAGCACTGACCCCCGGGGGACACCACTTGAAACAGGTCTCCAGCTAGACTTCACTCCATTGACCACAACCCATTGAGCGCAGCCCTCCAGCCAGTTCCTCATCCAACAGAGGGTAAAACTGTCCAAGCCATGGGCAGCCAGTTTCTGCAGAAGGATACTGTGAGAGACCATGTCAAAGGCTTTGCTGAAGTCTAGGTAGACTACATCAACTGCCTTTCCCTCATCTAACAGTCTGGTCACCCAGTCGTAGAAAGAGAAAGAGATGAGGTTGGGTCGTAGAAGGAGATGAGGTTGGGTGTCAATGTCTGATTTACAGCAAGAGGATTCTTCCAGAAAATGATTGCAATCCCCTATTAATGATAAGAAGTCTTAACTCCTTTCCAGCAGGGACAGAGGGCTGTTCAACCCTTAGGACTGCAAAATTATTTGTAGACAGTGGACACTTGGAACCCAAAGTAGAGAAAAACATTGGGAAGACATGCATTCCTACCACCGCAGCCAAGAAGCAAACTGCTTCTTCAGCTCCTGTATATAGAAATGTTACTTGGCCATCTCACTGGCAGCAGGGAGATACAAGTAGTCCAGAGATCACTTGTATGCTTCAGCAGCTAAGCCAAATATTTCCTGATTCTGGAAGGTAAGAAGTGCAGCTTGCTATTTGCCTCACCCAATTTGTTGGAGAAAGGGTTTGCCTTTCTCAGGCCAGGCCTAAGAAGCAGCCAATCTGCAGGCCACAGCTCTCAGCACCCCCATGTCACGCAGTGTGCACAGAGAGGGGACAAACTGCAGCACCGGGGAGTGGGATTTGAGAGCTTCACCAAGAGCTTGTAGCAAAGCAGTGACTTACTGATGAAAAAAGCAGGATTAATGTCATACTTACAGTAGCAAAGAACAGAATTCCAAACAGAGCATACAAAGCCTGGAACTTCTGTGAGGAAGAACAAAAAACTTGAGTCAGAATCACGTAGAAATAATTTCATCATTGCATTTGCACCTCCAGCTGAATCCAAGAAAGACCACACAATGAAAACAACATGATGGAGCAGTTAACATGAAACAGGCAAGATTCTACTTCTGTCACATGCCTACCTATGCTTGTTATAGGATTGGGAAGAAGCAAAACTAATTAGTTTATTATATGGGATAATGTACAGCCCATGTCTACTTATCAGATTATTAAAGGTTAACCTTTCCTAAGAAGTGGCTGACATACCCCAGCCAGACCAAATGGCCTCAAATTGTGCCAGGGAATATTCAGGTTGGATGTTAGGAAGAATTACATCTCTGAAAGAGTGGTCAGGTGCTGGAATGGACCGCCCTGGGAAGAGGTGGTGGAGTCACCAACCCTGGAGGTGCTCAAGAAACATTCAGATGTTGTACTGAGGGATGTGGTTTAGTGGGGAAATATTGGCAATAGATGAATAGTTGGACCTTGGAGGTCCAACTATTCTTGGAGGTCTTTTCCAACCTTGGTGATTTCATGGTTCTATGAAGTGGTTACAGGTACTGCAGGACACAGACAGACTCATGCCAGTGCATCCAACAAGCACACATCCAGTAAGGTACTTACGTATGAGTTTATAATGACACAGGCAATTGCCCCAGCAACCCACAGGATGCTCAAAGTGCTCGTTATGGTGAAGTTCATTGGAGGTTTCTGGGGACAAAGAGCACAGTGACACTATTTTCGCTGCAATTAGCCAGCACATTTTTGAATCAAAACAATACACGATGTGCAGGGATGTTGATTAATCAACTAACATAAGTGACATGCACAAAGACAAACCCAGAGACTACTGCTGCTGACTTCACTTAAGCTTTCGCTCCTCTTACTCAGTTTATTAATAGACCAGTATTTCCCTAAACCAGATTCTTGTCCTGCTTCTCCCTCCTCCCCCCCCCACAGAATCGCAGGGGTTGGAAGGGACCTCCAGAGATCGAGTCCAACCCCCCTGCCAAAGCAGGCTCCCTACACCAGGTCACACAGATAGGCATCCAGGCAGGTCTTGAACATCTCCAGAGAAGGAGACTCCACAACCCCCCGGGGCAGCCTGTTCCAGTGCTCCGTCACCTCACTGTAAAGAAGTTCTTGCACACATTCATGCAGAACTTCCTATGCTGCAGTTTCTGGCCATTTCCCCTTGTCCTGTCTCTACACACTGCTGAAAAGATTCTGGTCTCGCCACTTGGCCCCCCACACCTTAGATATTTATAGACCTGGATCAGGTCCCCTCTCAGTCTTCTTTTCTTAAGGTAAACAGACCCAGTTCACTCAGCCTTTCCTCATAGGAGAGATGCTCCAGGCCCTTCACCATCTTCGTGGCCCTCCGCTAGACTCTTTCCAAGAGATCCCTGTCTTTTTTGTACTGGGGAGCCCAGAACTGGATGCAGTACTCCAGATGAGGCCTTACCAGGGCAGAGTAGAGGGGGAGGATCACCTCCCTCCACCTGCTGGACACGCTCCTTTTAATGCACCCCAGGATGCCATTGGCCTTTTTGGCCACAAGGGCACACTGCTGGCTCATGGACAACCTGTTGTCCACCAGGACACCCAGGTCCCTCTCCGCAGAGCTCCTCTCCAGCAGCTCATCCCCCGGCCTGTATTGGTGCATGCAATTATTCCTCCCCAGATGCAAGACTCTACTCTTGCTTATGTTAAACCTCATCCGGTTTTTTTTCTGCCCAGCTCTCCAGCCTGTCCAGGTCTTGCTGAATGGCAGCACAGCCTTCAGGCGTGTCAGCCAGTCCTCCCAACTTCGTATCATCAGCAAACTTGCTGAGGGTGGCCACTATTCCCTCATCAAGGTCATTGATGAAAATGTTGAACAAGACTGG